TCTGCTCAGGTCCCTTCCGACCCTACCAACTACGAAACTATCTACCAAAAGTGGGGAAGTGTCTCATCTTTGAACAAAGCTTTAGTAAAACTGCAAAACAGGATAGAGTGTTGACTGCTAGTGTTGACAATTAAAGAGGATATGGAAATATTAGGCAAAGTTCAAAGAAGGACCACAAAATGATTCAGGAGCTCAAAAACAAACCTTATATTATGAGGCTTATGAAGCTCAATTTATTCAGCTTATTGAAGAACAGGTTGTGAGGTGATTTAATTACTGCCTATAGATAGTTCTCAACCTTTTTAGATGCAAAGCACTCCCTACTGGACTCAAGGCATTATTCAGCAAATGCCAGCTTTTATTTTTCACTTTTTTTTAATTATGGAAAAATAACAGGCAATAATTATATTTCAAAGAACTCAGAAAGATCACAACAGGTCAGAATGTACTTGGATATGGATTCCTAGTTGATATATCTGGGTTTATCTAGAGTTGGATATCTGATCAGTCAAATAAAATTTGGTCAATTGATTGGTCAAATACTGGTAAAAATTGTCAATAGGTCCAAATAGTGCACAGAAAAAGGACAATTTTTTCATTAAGAAATGTGTGAAAAACAATTTAAAAATCCTTGTTAAGAAAACTATAAAAAAAATTAGTTGTTTTTTGTAAAATTGCTATAACCTTTGACTGTTCAAAAATATGCAGTCAATTTACTGGTCAACTGACTGGCTTGCCAACTTTATGTTGATCTTATGAATGATGTGTAAGTGTTTACACACCTAGTAACGTACAACATCCTTAAAAGGATTCCACAGCCCCCTGGTTGAGAATCACTGGTTCAGCTACTTAGTCATGAAAAAGTTTTTCATTCTTACAGACAGAGCAAGACCCAATTAGAAAAAGTGAGCCTAGCAGTCAGACTAGATTATCATATAGCTCTTCAGACATTAGTCTCACTGTGACCAATGATAGATTAATGGGTAGAGGTGCCTCGATACATTGGTCCAATATTGGATTGGTACAGATATAAAGGAAACTGGATGTGCTGGAAATCGGTCTGATGCCAATAAATGTCTGTGCGTGACTGCAGCCATAGCGCAGCACGCAAGCAGCAAGGAGCATAGCCCAGCAGCTTGGAGAGCTGTGTGCAGATGGTAAGTCTGGTGTGGTGAAAAAGGAGGGGGAAGAGGAGGGGAGGC